ATGGAGAGAATCAAGCCCCATTGGAAAACTTGTGTCTTCTTAGTAATTTTGAAACATTAGAGGTGACCTGAGAAAGGATTTTGTGCAGAGATCAATGTGAGGTTTACTTCTTTCTCAGGTCTTATAATAGAACCAGGACTTCTCCATTCTGTTTCCTTCCCTTACTCTAGGTCCCCTCTACAGGCTGTCTCCAAAGAGGCCTCCTGCAGGGTCCCCACTCCTTTGCTCAAAAATGTTAAAGGGAGCCCCCCTCCCGCTCAAAAATACAAGGGTTCACATATCTTACCTCAGTATTTGATCTTATTCTCTTCTCACCCAAGTTTATCCTCCGTTCTAGCCAAATTCCATGTGCAAACCAACTACACTATATGTTTCAGACTTCTGAGGCTAGAAAGTTCTCACCCTGAACCTCAGTTTCCTCCTCTGTAAAATAGAAAATAATTTGTACCGCAAAGACACATTGCAAGGGATGATTGAATAAAATAATCCATATAAGATATTTGGCATAGGAGCCAGCAGGTGGTGTGGTGATGTAGTATTTGGGAGTGCTGGACTCCCGCTTGACTGACTGAAGTTCAAATCCCAGACCTGGTGACTTGTTGTCTCTCTCTCTCTGTCTTTCTCTGATGGGTGCATGTGCCCTATAGCAAATTTAAAAACACTATTTTTAAAAAAGATACTTTGCATAGTGCCCCAAACCTAACAGGTCCTATAATTAAATATTGTGGGTTTTAGTATTTGTAATCCTGACCTGGTACCTTTGTCAGACCCATTCTTTCAACCTTAATGCTTCTGCCAAGCTGCCTCCTTTCATTAGAGGAAGATGTCTATATGTTCTGAGTCTAGTTCACATTCAGCCTCTTTCATGAAATATAGGACCTTCTTGGCTGCCCCATCTTGACATCACTATTCTCTGACAAATTGCTTGGTGAGCACTTACTACTTGCTGTTTTATATGGCATAGGCATAGGGCATATCCATTTTGTACATGTGTAATTTTATTTATTTATTTTTTGCTATAGGGTGCATACACACACACACACACACACACACACACAGAGAGAGAGAGAGAGAGAGAGAGAGAGAGAGAGAGAGAGAGAGGACAAACGCCCTCCAGGAGGGAATATGACCACCCCACAATCCCTTCTCCTCTACTTTCCTCTTGGGATTTTGGGCAAGCAGGCACAAGCATCCAGTGTACTTTTCAAGCCTCAGACTGAAACTCAAACCACCCCATCAGCCATCTGGAATCCAGCCACCCCTATCCACCATGCCACCTGCTAGCCCAGGCATATTCATTTTGCATCCTCATCTTGGCTTCCTAGCTAAACTGCATGGTACTTGAGGCCAGGGTCATTGTCTCAGACTCCTTCATACTCATACTTAACCATGTGGCCACTACAGAGCTAAAATAAAAGCCATTAGTAGGGTGTTTTGACTCCACATCCATAATCCATGCCTTCTACCCCAATGTTCTTTGTTCTTTAAAAAATAAAGCCGATCCTTTGCAAATATTACTGGTAGAAATCTATACAAAATGAAACAAATAGAGTAGACTCACTTTTCCCTATCTGCCCTTGAAGTACAGCTAAAAAGCCTGAACGTCATATACAAAACAGACATGAGCAGATTCTGAAAGGTCAGGAGAAGGCCAATGGGCTAGAGACCTCAAGACCCAGGGAACTGCATAGTGCTAAGTTCCTTGGCTCTCTTTTTGCCCTGGGACTGCAGAAACTGAGAAAACCCCAGACATTGGCAAATACAGACAAATACAAAAGTGCCCCAACACAAGCCTCCTTTCTAGACAAAGGACCAGGAAAGGGCAGCCTAAGAAGATAGAAACCTTTGAGGCAATAAACACCAGACTCCAGCCACCACCACAAAGAGACCTGTGACCCGTCTTTACCCATCCCAGCAAAAACTGAGCAGAGGCCCAGACTTCTACCCTGCCAGACTCCCACAGGAGATCCCTTGCGTGTCAGGAAAGGCCACAGGGGAGTCTAGACTTTCAACCACTACCACCATAGGCACTTCCATTTCCCCCTCACTGTGTCACTGGAAGCCTAGTGGAGAGTTCAGATTCTTATTAGCATCCAGCAGTAAAGGTCAAATACCTTTCTTTCTCCCCAGTACCTGACATCTTCCTGTGGAAGCAGAGGCCCATGAACAGCAGTAATGGGGAACTCCTATTCCTCCCAGCCAGGCAGGAATAAAGAGAGGTCTAGAAAGAGACGAGATTCCCAGTCCCACCTAGCAGTAGTGAAGAGCATTCTCTCTCTCTCTCTCTCTCTCTCTCATACACATCCCTCAGGTGGCAATGAGGCTGCATGATTTCTACCCCCACTTGGCAGTAATGAAGCACTGACCCACTTTCTTTTATGGGGTGATGTCTGAGAAAGCAAGATAAAACAAAATTTAACTAAGATCCAGAGTCTTATACTACTCCAAATTTTTGAGATTTTCCATTGAAAATCTCTGTTTATACCAAAAACCAAGAATATTCCAAACTGAATGAAAAAGATAACAGATACCAACATGACGATGACAAACTTTAGATTTATCTAGAAAAAAAAAGGTTTTAAAGCAGCCATGATAAAAATAATTCAACAATTATGAACACATTGAAACAAACAATAACTAAAAGAAAGTCTCAGTGAAAAAAACAGAAAATGTAAAGAAGAACTCAATGGGAATTTTAGAACTAAAAAGTGCAATAACAAAACAAAAGCTCAATAAGTGGGTTCAGGGACAAGAAGAAGGAAACAGAGGAATGAATCAGTAAGTTGGAAGACAGATCAATGAAAATTACCCAGTCTGAGAAATGGAGAATTTATTGGTTAAAAAAAAAAAAAAAAAAAAAAAAGCAGAGCCCCACGGACCTGTGGGATGATAACAAAAGATCTGACATTCGTGATCCGAGAATTCCGAAGGAAAAAGGACAGGGCTGGAAAAGTACCCTAGGAAGTAATAGCTGAAAATCTTCCAAATGCGGCAAAGAAGTTAAGGAAACCACA